TTTATCAAATTCTATGATTGATATCTCATTTTGAAGAGCCCACGTTCGTATATAAAGTAGTCTCGTTGTTTAATTGTAGTTATTTCTTAAAAAAAAGAAAGTGTTTTCAATGGGCTAAAAACACTATCCGGTCAATCTAGGGAAAAAACAAACTTTTGAAAGGGGTTACCATATGTCAAAAATTTTTTAAAATAATTATGTAAAATATTACGACGCATTTAGCGAGAACTTTAAATATTCTTTTATCCAAAAGTAATAATTTTGAAAAGGGTTGCCAACTATCTAAAAAATTTTAAATCTCTATTTGTATAATTACACCATTACACATTACACTCCGTGTTATATGCATGGAGTCGAAAACGTCGATAACGATGTTAACCTATGATTAGTGTCAACCAGGCTTTGAGCAACCGGCCCTAAGAAACGAAGAGCGGTCGGTTAATATTAATCGTTAGTTAACTAATGAAAATAGACCTGTGCAAAAATTAGAAAACGGTAATGAAGGTGTAAGGCTTACTTGTATTTTATTACCTCCCTTTTATTAGCTCGGGATGTAACTACATATGTAATATTGATGCGCCTAAAAGATGCAGTGATTCCTATTCCCAAGTTACATACCTGATGACAGTACGAATGGAAATTATAATAGCGAGGTTTTAGTTTTTTAAACTATAATTTTATTTTAATGCACCAAATGATGTATTTTGTGTATACATACACAAGTACGTAGATAGTCCGTAAAAAATCACTCAACAAAAGCAATTTCATGTTTCAATGACATCATTTGGTATAAGTACTAAAAAGAAAACTTTTCAGAAAACTATTGGAGGAATTTCATGGCACAACAGAAGGCCAAATTTCTTAACTAAAATTTTCAATCAATGTATAAAATCTACAATTTTTTGCCAGGATGGACACGTAGGCTTAAACTTTGTGTCGGAGGAAGAGTGCGATTCGTTTTATAGAGCTGTGGACACGACAATTGAAACGAGAAATCGCAAGAAATTAGGTTGGTACCTATTATTTCGTTTTTTGCATTTTTTTTTTTAATTCAATGTACATACATACTGGTTTGAAAATAATAAAAAAATGCTTATCTCATCCGCGTGTAGAAAAACGGAATCGCGCAAAAGCACAAGCTGCGCCAAACATACCACCACCGGTGGCTAGAGAAGCAAACAGATCCACATCCGCGACCAATCAGACGACTACAGATTCTGGCGTTCAACTTCGCAATCACCCACAAAAAATCAATTCTGTCACACTGACGCCTGGTCCCAATCCAGTAGCGCCTTCCAAAAACTTCCTTAGTACTAGTTTTGGTCTGTCGGGTTCATCAAGCAAAGATAAGGCGAAACGAAAAGTTACTAAAGCGGATATCAGTACGCCAACAAATTTCGTGCATATCAGCCATGTCGGCTGGGATGCTGATAAGGGCTTCGATTTAACTGGCAATGAGAACGATGAAGTACTCACTAGCTTCTTCGCTAAAGCTGGCGTATCCGAAAATGAACTGAAGGACCGCGACACGCGTGCCTTTATCTACGACTTCATTCAAAGCAACAACGTACTGGCATCGGTCAAATCGGAGCGCGTTGAATCGCCAAAAGCTACGGCGCCCACCGCGCCGCCACCTGTGCCAAGTCGTCACCAGCATGTAAGTATTTATCAACATAAAATTTCTTCAATGCCAATATAAATGATCGTACAATTAATAGCATCAAAATGGCACAACTGTAAGCCAAAGAACTGCGCCTCCACCGCCACCACCGGCGAGACAACCTCCACCACCGGTGCCGACAACAGTACCGGGTGCAACACGTGCACCAGCACCACCCACAAGACCGCCTCCCATAAATGTAGCGCCACCTCCACCAGCACCACCACAGCCTGCTGTAGCTGCGCCAGCGGCAGCTGTAAGTTATTCTTAACCATACTCAAAGTATTAAGTTTTTTGGTAAAGCGTTTCCTCTGCTGCAACAGCCACCACCACCTCCGCCGCCGCCACCACCGCCACCGCCAGCCATGGTCGAGTCGCAGGTAATAAGCACGACGGATGCGCCGGCAGCAGAAACGAAACGGCCAATAGCGCAACTACCCGTCGTACCAGATGTGCGCAGCCAACTCCTGGATAGCATACGTAAAGGAACTGTATTAAAGGTATATTTTCGAGTATGGTTTCTCCTCTAAGTAATAGTTTGACTAACCCTTTTAATTTTTTGTTTACAGAAAGTAGATACCGCAGCACTGAGCACAGGCAGTGGCGATTCACACAGTGATCTAATGTCTGAAATTCGCAGCGGTTTCGAGCTGAAGCCATCGCATGATCGCGCGCCCATCAATCGCAATAGCGATGACGGCACGGGTCCGGCTGGCAGCGATGCGCTGGCCGTTGCGCTGAGGCGCGCGCTACTTGAACGCGAACGCGTCATGCAACCGTCAGATGATGAGAACGACGATTCGTCGGGTAATGACGATGAATGGGAGGATTAAACGCTAACTAACTAAGTCGATTGCAACAAAGTTGTGATGTTATGCGCATGTACGTTAACAATACATGTTATAGTGTGTATTAAAGGCAAATGAATTCGTTCTAAAGTCAAATATTGCATTGAAGTTTCGTTAGGTATTTAAATCTTATAAAGCAGTTTATACGCATTTTAAAGCAATACATAGCCATTAGCCATTTTCTATGTATCCAAACACTGTTATGTATTTTCGATTAATACTTTCGGGTTTTTGAAAATAGTGATGCCAATCGAAAATGTATTATGTACATATTTATACAAAACTCATGACGAGATAGGTGGAGTAAAGGTGAATCAGAAATAAAAATTTAGACAAGTTTACGATTTCCTAAATGATTTAATTGTTAACAACTAATCAGCTATGTATATGTAGCATAACCGGTTTAATGAAATAATTTGCTCCAGCGCAATATATGGTTGGCATCNGAATGATTTAATTGTTAACAACTAATCTAAAGCTATGTATATGTAGCGTAACCGGTTTAATGAAATAATTTGCTCCAGCGCAATATATGGTTGGCATCGCTGCAGTGTTGTGTTTTAAGGAGTGGTCGATTTCTTAATGAAATGATTTCTTAATGTTCATCTTATAACACTGTGCTTTATACTTTAGAGAAACTATCTTTTTAACTATATATTAGAGGGCGCTTCTTTATTTACTAATTTAATCACTGACAGTATACTTAATACACAGTACAGTTGTAAATTGCATATCTCTGCTCNCTAATGTTCATCTTATAATACTGTGCTGTATACTTTAGAAACCATCTTTTTAACTATATATTAGAGGGAGCTTCTTTATTTACTAATTTAATCATTGACAGTATACTTAATACACAGTACAGTTGTAAATTGCATATCTCTGCTCAAGTAAGCTAAACATTAATTACATTTAAGTAGCAAATATTCAAGAAAATATGTGAATGTCTTTGGAACCGAAGAAATTCCAAAAAGTGATAGTCTTAGGGAATATTTCACTTGGGTGAAATAAAGATTAAATGTAACATACGAACATGCAATTTCGATTTCTATGAAAGGCTTATGAATGTGCGACAAATTTTAATAGTGAGTGTGCTTACAAATTCGAATTTAATTCTTAGTCTACTACATATTTATTAACTTGAAAAGTGAATGGAAAACTGAGAGAAGATAATGCGTGTATGTTTTGCGGAGCCGTTTTAAATATATAAATGTATTTACTTAATTGCGTATGAACAGTTACACACATAAGTATGTACATATGTATATATATACCAAGAATGAACATCACTACCACAAGAGGGCTGAAATATTCCACATCCAGTATAAATGCAGGTAAATGAAATTAAGATTACTAAATTGTTGATTAATGTTGTAATTTTTATTTTTGAGTTTTGATGTGATTGGCAGGAACTGTAGGTTCACTTAACGCCAGATTAATTCTCTTTTTCTATATTTATATCCTTGAGTGCTGCATATGTACCTGGTAGCGTGTAGTAGCCATAATGTCCTTTTAACTGGAGGGTCTCATTCACAATTTTGGTGAACGCAGGCTGCCAATTTGGCCACAGCCACATATGTACATTCGAGTTTAATAAATTGATATTGTAAAAATATTCTGTGTCATATGTATGTACATCCAGCGAGAATTCTGTTAATTTGTTTTCGCTCAACGTGCATTTATGGAACCATGTCTTGTTAGTCCGCCTCTCGAAAATGCCAGTGAATAGGTTCGGCTTATTTCTAGAGCATTCATAACAACTTTTCTTTATCTGATTCCTAGTTTGTCTAAGTGCTTCGTCGACCGAGCATTTTACCTGCATTACATTGTCCCCACTCAACGCATTCGCTAGACTGTCTGCTTTTTCGTTTCCTGGCTTGGTGTCCATACAATTGCAACTCGGTCTCCATTAGTAAAGATATGTACATATTTTATAAATTACATGGTTGGTGGTGTTCATTTTTACAAATGACTGGCCTTTGCTATTTCTAGTGCTCCGTAAAAGCCACAATTTCAGCGAAAAAAACGATGTTTTACACTTAAGTTTGAAAGAGAATTCTTTTTTTCGGAGGGGCACAGGATTCCGCAACCAGTGACATTAGGACCAACCGGTGCATCCTTATAGAATATGGTGAAATTTGTTGTCTCATTTTCACTCAAAATCTCCGCATAGACCGTTCGGACCATTTCAGAAGCTAAATTTTCTTATTATTTACCATTGGTTCGGTAATTCTGTCAGAGATACGCGTGTCTCCAGCGACAGCTAAAGCTCTCTTCATGACGACTGTGCAGTTATAAAGACATTCATGGAGCGAGGGTCTTTGAAAGTGGTAATCGACTCTCTATGGATGTCGCTTAGGGCCTGTCGGGTGCAGTGATTGAGTTCCATTCATATGTATGATCTCATCCGTGAGTTCGTGGAGATGCCTTCTGACGTCCCCAGATGGAAATCAGCTTCATGCAAGTGTATTCGGATTCCAACCAGAAACTGTTTGCTGAGCATTAAGTTATGCTATCTAAGCGGGAGCAATTACGCACAGTGTTTCGACTATATGGAGGCAGGTGAATAATAGTTAACCTACACCGATTTCGCTGAAACTTGACTTGTGTTATAAGTTTACAAAGGGATAGGGAATTATGAAATTTGGTAAAGATAGGATTATTGCCACACCCTGTACTCTTGTAGGCAGAAGCATTAATTACGATGAAATTTAGCTTGTACTCTCTCTTTTATTAGAAACCCCAAAATAGGAAATATGGGGCATATTGGATCAATACAACGTCTACAACTCGCAAAAAAATGTGGCCACAATGATGGAATTCTGGTTAATTTTTTCTTTCTGATGTCCACTCTCAGAATAACAAAGGTTTTGCTTAAAAAAAAATTACGTAGGTGTAAATATTCTCCTTTCTCCCAATGTTTGTTGAGTTATTTCCATTGTTCGAAAAATATTTTTCGCGAAATTACACAAATGGAAGTTGAGAATCGAATAAAGGAGAAAATGAAAATTACATATATTTGCAATGTCGCGCCAAAAGATCCAATTATATGCTCGAAAACTACATGAAATTTTCTAAATCATGCGTATAATTTTATGACCTGACGAACCTGATACCCGCACTTTTTTTTACTAATACCGTGTCGTCGCCTGGGTAAAAGATTGTCGTAAGCGCAATTTTGACGATTTTTAGTTCTAGATGCAGTTATATATTTTGAAATAAGGTGTTTCGATTGGTGTTAGCAGTTTTCAGATTTCTCCTTTAGTTTCCGAGGTATTGACTACAATTTTTTCTATAATTAAGTAAAAATTTAGTTAGTTAGCCATATTAAACTAATCAATATCTTAAAAAAGACGTTCTCCATTTTTGGATATCTCCTTTAGTTTCCGAGATATTGAGTAAAAAGTGTCGTTAATTTAGTAGAAATTTTGATCACATTTTGTCCTATTTCATACAAAGTGCCTGCCAAATTGCGGACAAATGGCGCTTACGACAAAATTTTACTAAATAAAATCCTTCATAAACTCAAAACTAATTAACAATAACAATAATCATTAAAATTTAAATAATTTAAGAGTTTTGTGAACTAGTAACATATTCAGAGACTTTGGAGAAAATCTATCTTCGCGTTTTTGAGAAATTGTATTCCAAACTTCAATCGCAATTTCCCACAACCTACCGAAATTAACATACGAAATCTTTTACCCAGGCGACGATATATGTAATACTTCTATATTGGCAGTAAGCTACCCTACAAGACATTGCTGATCACTTTAGGCAAAAATTCCATAGTATGGTATAAATGAGTAGTTTGACTTTTAGTACTGAGAACTTTCTGATGACAACATTGAGAATTTATGACACCAAAATAGTCCGAAATGAATCAGCCTTCTTGACTGGCCTCAGAATCATAGTTATGATGAAAGAAAGACTCATTTTAGACTCACAAATTCTGAGCACTTAGAAAATTGTTTAAAGGGTAATCTTTAGCATCTACATTTCCAAGTAAATTTTTTAATAAAAAGTAGGAAAATACCAAATGAATGATAAATTCCTTCTTTTGAATATTTCATTACACTTAAATAATTGATTACAGTTGAAAAATAAACACTTTCTTTAATGGGTTTAGCGCCAAAGGCAGCGAAACTGATTAGTCAGTATATCGCGCCGATTCCAGTATTTTTGTTGGAAATGTACCGTTCTTAGAGAGGGGGGTGAGTAAATGACATGCAATTTTGTATTTATGACTTTTAGTGTTCTTTCCAACCGTATTTTTTTTCCTTAAACTGTGACCGTACTTTTTTCCACCTGCCTCCATATAGTCGAAGCATTATGTGACGCCTCGTTGTTTAGGTGGTATTCAGGCGTAGCTCCGTCCACTGCTGGTCTCAATCGAATAGTCTTCAAAACTCATGCGTCAGACACTTCTGCTATTAGGGTTCCCCATTTCACATTCCTTGGTCTGCGCATTAACAATAAACGCTTAACGAATAGAACAGCTCTATGAAAAGGCCTTTAGATCCAACATAATAAGGCCACCAGAAGGCAATGCAAATTTATGAAGAAGTAAAATGTTGGCCCATTTAAGGCTTTTTTATTTAAAAATTCGTTTATAATTTTGTTAGAGACACTAGCTATTTATACTAGTTAAGTAATACCTATTTATTGGTTACTTTTTCCAGTTTTCAGAAACTCAGAAGATAAACCTTTTTTTTGCAATTTCCCTACTTTGGTGCTCATTTTTGGTATACTACATACAAACTTACATTTTATGGTGGCCCTTGCAATATAAACATCTAAATTATATATGGGGCACCCCTGTTCTGCGTNTGCAATTTCCCTACTTTGGTGCTCATTTTTGGTATACTACATACAAACTTACATTTTATGGTGGTCCTTGCAATATAAACATCTAAATTATATATGGGGCACCCCTGTTCTGCGTACAAAATAAAACATCTAGAGTCCGACAGCACGTTCGCCTTCGTCTTCGGTTTGGTCGAGTGAACGCTAGGCTTCGACAAAAAACGACCGAAGTTTTTTCCGAAGCCCAACCTTTTTTCTATCTAGTTTTTTTTTTCATTTGAACGTGTATTATATTTTAAATGTATATATAAAATGTGGTATTGTAACCTTCTTTTTAATCAGCTGACTTTCAGTTGAGAGCTTCGGAATTTGAAATTGTAATTAAGGAATCTACATATAACAGAGTTCTTAGAGGTGCTGATATTCTTCAATATCGGAATACTAGCTCCCTAGAATTACTTAAAGCAGTTGCTGAAAATTATTTTTCTGCTCCACCCACCGGCAGTCACAGAACAAACTCACTTGGCGAGAACGCAAACAATTTTTTGTATTTAAGTGAAAGCATCAGGACAGCTGCTGTGGGTGGCTGGTTAGAGAACTGTACTGCCAACTCGTAAGACCTGGGTTCGATCCATGGCACATAAAAAATTATAGATTAGAAAGAAATATTTCTATAGGTGCTTGCCCATCGCCAGGCAATGGGAAACCTTCGATTGTATTTCTGCCATGAAAAAGCTTCTCATAAAATCCAGGTCCCAAGTGATAAATATGTTTCTATGTATTTTGTATTTTATGTACGCTTAAAAAGGCAAGATAGGGCTTCTTTTTTGAGAAAGTCGATTAACTTAATTTTAAAGTGCTATCTCGGTAATCCGGACACGCGGTGGTTTGGCCACATCTATAATCCGGACACGCCTACAAACCGGACAATTAGACATTTTTTACTCTACAGTTCGGTACAGTACAATTTATAATAACAAAAGAAAAAATAAAAAATTAACACTACAAAACAAAAAATCTTTCAAGAATATATTCACTTATTTATGTACATACATAAATATATATGTATTAAAAGTAGTATATCGCCTATGCATACAAAATAAAAGGGGGTGCTCCATGATGTTCATATATTTAACTATCACCCTAATACATATATGTGTAAGTACAAAAATATCAAACCAAAAATGAACTTTTAATATACATAAATGTGTATGTATAATCATTTAAAATTAAATCAATTAAAATATCAAAGAATTTAAATATATAAGTTAAATCGACGAAAAAGTGTATGTCGAGACATACTATGGAAGAGGTGTGCCAAAAACATATTTGAAACTTGTAAAAAGTTAATGGATGTGTATGTACGTGTGTATATGTATAAAAAGAAAACAATTGTATGGTGAAAGCACTTCAAAAATCTGATGAGGATTAAAATTGACGTTCATATTAAAAATTTTACCACAACTTTAGTACCGGGAAGTACTATTTTACACGAGTATCTATATGTACTGCTAACTTTGAACACACTTGCTATCGGAAATTAATGAAAACTAAAGTTTTATATCGTAAAAATTAATGTAACTCAGTCAGTAGAATAATGGGAGTTGGTACTTTTGTGTGTTTTTATTGTATTTGAAATTCGAAAAAGTCTTCGAAAAGTTGAAATAGTGAAAACGTGCCTATCTATTAATATCTAACGAACGATAGCAGTAAAAAGGAACATAATTATTTTAGACCACAATTCAAATAAGTGTATTTCCCAGGAATGGTAATCATTATGCGTAAGTTAAGTAATATAAATTAACAAATATGTAATCATTAGTTTTTATTTTATGCATGATAGTCCAATTCTAAAAGGATTTGGCTTCACAATTTTTTTCCGTTGGCTATGGTTAGCCCTTTTTGGTCGCAAATTCAATTAAACTACAAACTTCATTTTTTTTTTATATAAATTGACTTCCTAGAACATTTTAATCCTTTTACTCCAACCATAATGGGGTCTTTTGATCCTTTTTTTGGAAGTAGCATGTGTGCTCATTAAAAATGGCAAATAGATGACTGAAAAAAATTATTCTAGGAGTCACCGAAGATATCATTGGCCGATTCTGAACAGAAAATGCCCGAGAGCTTTTTTCTTTTACCTTTTCTCTTATTCCCTGAGGATTTTATATTTTAAATGGCGAAATTGAGCTGTCAAGAAAGTGTCAAACCGCTTTTTCGAGGTTCGAATTGCCTCCTCCCAAATTTTCGGGGAAAATGCTACTCCCTGGGAGTTAATTATTGAAGGATTTCTTTCTCGAGAGAAACAAATTCCCGGAGAACAAACTCCCCGGGAGTGTTCAGAATTGGGCTGTATAAAAACCCTCCGATTAATTTTGAGTGCGCTATGGGTACGGTGACCATATTCGTGAGTGCCGAATACGGGACAAAAAATAGTTTGCAATTTGTTTCCACACTGTTTACCCTGAAACAGTATCCTTATGGTAACATCACAAATTTGTGAGATAATTTTCTCGAGATTTTTGCCCCGTAAAATTTGTTAAAAAATTCGTTAAATTTTAGTATTATAAAGTGCAATTTTAAGTCGGTAAGGCTTACCACAAATTTTTGGAAAGTTTTTTTTTTGTTGACGGGGTTACGCATTTTTTTCATACAAAGTAAGTATGTTGAAAGAGAAGCAAATGGGAAGCACTTTCCACTCGCCCTTTATTATATTCAATTTTAATGAATTACAAAACTGCAAACCAAACTTTTTCTCAAAAGATTCTAATTAAAAAGTTTGAAATTTTGCGAAACATTGAAGAATTCATTTTTATAGTTTTTTGCACAAAGTTGGAAATTTGGTATTATATG